CTGCAGCTCTAATGCAAACTCACTCTTTGTAAAGATCTTTGTAAGAAACAGACAGGAATAGTTTGCTTTTACATGGGAAGGTGTACAGTTTACTTTTATGCCCCTCCCCTAAGAGTATCTTCGTTCACTGTCTTTGCCCACTGTGCATTGGCACAAGAACTTGAATGCATCACTCCTAGAAAGGGACTCAGAGTATACCAATATATTGATGATGTGTTCTTTGGGGGCCTTATGTCTCACCTGGGAGAACATAACCTTCTTAAAGACTGACAGCTGCATTTGAAAGATAACAAAGCACTGTGGGATGCTTGACAAACAGCATTCAAGGACAATCTGAATGAGGCTTTGAGCAACCTGGTCTAGTGGAAGGTGTCCCTGGGTTTGGAACTAAATGGTCTAAAAGGACCCTTCCAACCCAAACAATTTTATGATTCTGTGATTCTGTTAATCTATTTTGACTTCTTGAAGGGAAGATATGTGTTAGTATGGGGTTGAGATTGTGTCAGAGTTGACCCAGGCCAAGCAGTCTCAGGATAATACACTGTGAGGGGTTTGAAGCTCTAGTTTAGCTGTTTGCCCAAACCCCAAGCAATACAATCAAATAATGGGAGTCAACTTACTGACAGGCCTGAGATGAAGACATTCAGTGGGTATTGCACACCCCTTACTACCCTTAAGCAAATGTTATCACAGTGGGATACAAATAAACATTTGCTGATTGTTAGATGTCATTTCACCTAAATTTAGCCAGAGAGAATTTTGAAACTTCAGTGACCCTGATCAGATCATGAAGTTCTTATCCTGTCCTTGTCAACTAACATATCCTCATGCAGGTGCATGGATATTTTCTAAAACATGGATTTTGCTACTTTTCACACACATTCATTTTTCTGTGAATTCAGTCTATCTGAACTATTATTTTCACTAGATAGGATTGTTTCTTTAGAATTCTATTTCCCTTACGTTTTGTCGTATTTCTGAGATACAATAAATACAGTTGCCTTTGAGTGCCATCTTCCTCTAATGCCTCTTCCAAGGTTTGCCCAAGGAGGCATTTGGGTAGGTGATCTGCCCTCATTCCTGGGAGGGAAATCACTGCTTTCTTGGAAGGAAAGCAGGTTTTAGGAAGGTGGGGTGGGATTCCAGACCTTTGCTAATACCGACAGATGCCATAGCCCAGCGCACATCAGTAGTGGCAGCAGCGCTTTGACAGCTGGCCAACTCTATCCCTAGTTTTGGCATATCTGTTTCTCATCAATTTTTTAAACTTGTGAAGAGAGAAAGGTATAATTCCACCAAGAAAACTAGGTTTTCTCTCTCAGATGGGGCAGGAACCCCACTGTTTGCTCTTTTACCACCTTTAAATACAGTGAACAAAAATACTCTGTCCAAGCACTGTCACAGGGAGCAGAGGACAAATTTCTTTGGGTAGCTATTGAGTTCCTGCTGTAAGATGCTTTTGAGCAAGAAAGGAAAGAACCTAAACCATAGAGTTACCCAAAGAGTATCTGTCCCCAGCCTCATCCTCTTCCTCCCTATACAAAAGCCTGTAGCCCAGTGTCTTCAGATGACAGTCAAAGAAGAGATTAATTAACAATTCTTGTTTTTTCACAATATTCATATGCAACCCTCCTGGCAGCCCTGGCTGATTCCCTGCTATAATTCAGCCACCTTCCTTTTTGCTCTATTTTGCTCAAGAGCCAGTTAATGACTTTATTATTCAGCTGTTGACATGTGGAGGTGAAAGTCCAACTCTGTGCCTCCCCATGTTCCCATTGTCTTTTGCTTCCAGATTGTCACCAAGCAATTATCTTCTCTTTTCTGCCCCTGTTTCCACCTGTCAAGGTTTTTTGATGAATGTCTTCACAAATAAACCTGCCTTTCAGTATTTTCTGGACTTTTCTAGAGCAGCTTGGTATTTCTTCTCAAAGTCAGTGGGCAGTACATATTACAAGATGAGAGGAAGTCAGAAGGTCACAGCAGAACGTGTTCAAAGTAGACCCAACTTCTAAGGCAATGAGTTGTAAAGAAATAGCTTATCTTTCCATATAGCTTAGGAAACATCAGCCAAACTGCAATAATTGACCTTGTTAAGTGCTGAGTGCTCACAAAAGCATAAGATTCCATGTAAAGTTTCTGCTTCTGTAAAGGTGAAAACACTGGTCTACAGAAACCTTGACAGGTAATGGCCTTAAGTTGCATATGAGGATATTCAGGTTGGATATTAGGAAAAGTTTCTTCCTAGAAAGAGCAATGGTGCACTGGCACAGGCTGCCCAGGAGGCGGTGGAGTCACTGTCCCTGGAGGTGTTCAAGGGACATGGTTATGGGCATGGTGGGGTTGGGTTGGATTTGGTCTTTTCCTACCTCGGTGATTTTATAATTCTGCCAGAACAGCAGGGAGTAAGGGTGCATGCAGGCTAGGAGGGGTAACTTTCCTGGAGCAGTGTTAGACTGATGGGCTTCCTGAGTATACTTACAGAAGGAAGGAGCTCATCCCTTTCTTTGTTTTCACAGTCAGGAAGCCAAGGAGCAGGACAGCTCTTCTCATGAGCTGGGCTGCCCTGCCCACTGAGCTATCAGATCTTTCTCAGCCTGCTCCGCTTCCCCACCCCAGGCCAGCAAGGTTGGTTTATTAAAAAAAACCACCAACTCACCCCCATTCGCACATAGCTGCCCAAGGCTCCCACTGCATTGCAGAAGGGACTTGGTGACAACCAGTATCTCGCTTTATTGGAAACCACTCTTCACAGTTTTGATTGAATCATTTCTTTTTGCCTGATGAAATCACCCTAGACACAAAGCAGAATGCACACTAGTAGTGCAGGATCAACAGCCTGCTGCCAGCAAAACTCCTGCAAGAGCTGCAGCCGCCTCGCAGCGCTGCTGAAAGTCTCGCTTGCCCTCTGTTGGGTGGTTGGGGAAAGATTTACCTCCTTGGAAATGAATGCTGCTTGCTAGAATTCGTGAAAGAGGGATTCAGAATGATGGAGGCACTGAACAGAGCTCTCCTTTCTTGTTAGCCTCTCTGGTCATCTGATTAGAAGGTGACATTCAGTGAAATTAGGGGATGGCTGTGTATTTAGGGGTGAGCAGTTAACAAGCAGAGGAGGGCAGTGTTTTATGCAGCATGTAATGCAAACAGCCTGTGGAGTGCACTTCCACCAAAGGGTCACCGCAGCAAATGCCGTGCAGAGGTTGGAAGGAAGCGGCGGCTGATTTAATGCCCACTAGCAGGCTGTGCAAGCTGAAGTGACAAACATAATCAAATCTCATGCTTCAGGGCATAAATTGAAGGGGCTGAGTAGTGGAAGCAGTTATGTGTATAAAAGATCTGTTCCTGAGAGATGCTAATCACCTGCAGTTCAGCAAGGGAAAGGACACTCAGGGACTGCTCAACTTCTCTGCTGGCTGACTCCGTACTTGCTAATTTTCCTTATTAATAAACCCCGTAATATTTCAGCCCGCTGGCACAAGCATTCATTTTGCTACAGTAACATTTATTTCCTCTCATACGAGAGTCAAACATTAAAGCTGTTTCTAAAATAAGATTTTATGGAGATAATTTGTAGTGGTGCTGGCAGAGAATTTGTCTCTCAAAATATGCTATTATTCTTTATCTACCTGAGGTACTCATATAGCCTCATTAAGAGGATATGCGAGCACTTCATAACCTTCGGTGGATTTATCTTCCCAGTTTCCTCCCTGAGCAGGGTAATGGGTACTACTCCCACCCTAAGGCTGGGGAACTGCTCTTGGGGGTAGGATTTGTCTTTCGTGCCACCTAAAATGAACCCAGGTGCTCTGCTTGCAATTCCCTGGGCACATGCTGAGTATGGCATTTACCTTTGGCTTCTGCACCACAGGGCTCTGAATGCAGCCACCACTGAGAGAGCAGAGGAAAAGAGGTCAAACTGACCCCAGTCTTAGTGCTCATGGAAAATAAAGGAAATCTTCGCTTTCATCTGGAATCCTAGTAAGGGGGAAATTCTGCATCTTTTCTCCGCAATTTGAGAACTAGGCAGGTTGTGCCTCCTAGGAATGGCTTGGGTAGAGCTGATTCTGCTTGGGAGCAAGCCAGTCTGGAGAGCTTCTTGAGTTCCCTCCCCATTGTCTACAGTGGTCTCCTCAGAGAAAATAATAACAGTTTTTTTCCTAATAAATTCCTGTGACAGAGCATCAAATCCCTGACCCCGCAATTCCTGTCCGTAGGGAGTGACTGTGTGGGTACTGTGTGGGTCCTGAGCCATACAAGGCCTTTAGGTACAGTAGTGTAAGAGTTGCGAATGCAGGTCAGTCACCATTAAATTAAGAACAGTTCAAGTGAGCAAATTCCCTTTTTTTTTGTTTGTTTTGCAGCTGCCAAGATTTCCCCTGTAACTCCCATCCTTTGCTTTCCTTCTCCTGGCTGTAAATTTTGCTGCCTTCTGCAGTAGATAAATCTGATATGCTGTGCTAAATATTTTAAATGTGGCAAACGATTCTTCATCGCAGAGTGGCATGATTGCATTACAATGTATTAGAACAACATGACTTTGCCAGAGGGTGTTTGCTGGCACCACGCCGAATGAAGGAGGCAGCTCAAGTTTGAGAAGTAACTATCGAATCATTTATCAACATTCATTCCTAACACACATGGGGCTGCACCAGCTCGAGAAAGAAATCTGTGGGCTGAGCCAAAAACCCTGGGCACAGATCTTTCAGTTTGAGCTTCTCAAAATTCAAGAGCCCAATCAAAATGTCAGCACGAGCCCCTGTGACAGATTCAACACACGCTTCTGGCATCTATTGTATTGCGTTTGGTCTCCTTTCTTAGGCTCATATGAAATATGTGCTGCTTTTTAGGATCTTGGCCGATTTTCTCTCACTACTGTAACACGATGGAAGTTCTCTGATGAACCAGGTGGAACAAGAAGTTGTGTGCTATGATCCCCATGGGTCCCTTCTTACTTGGGATATTCTATGATTCTATGATTCTATGAATTGCAGAAAGACCACAAGTGGTTTCTAGAGTTTATTTTCCTTCATTATGTCCTCATAAGATGGAGGCAACTCAGTTCCCCCAGGGCTGAGCTGCAGGGCAGGAGAGGACCTCTCCACGTTCACGCAGGTGCTTGGAGATCTGGCAAATGGGCACTGAGGGGCTTCACTCGCTGGGGAGAAAGCAAAACAGTAAATGTAGAGCAGGCAGAGAAGGACAAGCTCTGGGGAAAGAAGGGTGAGCTGAGGATGAGCTGTCAAACCGCTCGGAAACAAGAAAGGCATGGGTGTGATTTGTGAATCACAAAGCCTCTCACCAAAGCCTTTCAAACTCCAGATGTTAGAAGTGAGAACTGAGGAATCTGTGTGGGTTTGGGTGGATCCTCCCCTTGGAGGTGTAGCTCATGACCACCCAGAAAGCAGGCAGCTCTTCCTCTGGGAAGGGCTTAGCTTAATCACAGAATGAGCTTTATTCCTCTTGGAGAGGCTGGCGCCTGGACCAGCCTGCTGGCAGTACTCCAGGTCAGCTCTGGGCATTACACACAGTCCTTATAGCCCCTTCCCCAGATTCTGGATGTTGCTAGGGGAATGTGAGGGTGGTTACTGCAATAAGCAGCATCTACCAAGAAACTTTCCTGACAGATATCAGCCCATTGAGATACCTGCTGGGATGGCTTATATTGACCAGGGAGGTGAGAAATTCAATTCACATAATGGGAGGGGCTGCCAGGTGCCAAGGAGAAGGTCCCTCATCCCTCCAGTGTCAGAATGGCCAAGCCCCAACTTGGCATCTTTGGGACATATAGACATACACGGACAGCACTGGGTTCAGCTGAAGGTTTGGCTGGGGAAAAAAACATGGATGTGACTCGCTTAAGCCCTCCAATCTATGGTGCAATCATCAACCCAAGGTGCCCAGCTTGGGCACTGCACTGTTCACTCAGATGCAGCCTGGTTGCCACTCACAGCTGGCCACCTCGTGCTGGGTTTTGGATGGAACCAGCAGGTAGGGGACCAGTGGGATCTTTCAGGAGGCAGGAAGTAGGACTAACCACAGAAAGCATCTGAGCTGCTGAGTGCAAAGACGGCCAGAGTGCGTGGTTGGAGGCTGCTCTTCCACTTCAGCCAGCACTGCAGGCAGCAGCAGATCCCGCAGGACAGGAGCAGGGCCAGAAGAAACAGTGTCAGGAACCTGAGGCAGAGGCAGCAGGGGAGGAACAATTCCATCACCATCTGCGGGCAGCACCAACAGATGGCTGCGTGTCTTCAAATTAACATATTCATTAATGTATTTTGCAAATAGCTGTTAAATGTTGCATTTTCTCCATCAGTGTGCTGGACATGATCAAAGTCCCGGGAAACCAACATCTCTCAGTGATGAGTGCTGTCTGGAATTCAAGCATTTCTCCCAGAAATCATTCATCAGGTTTGCCCGTCTCTGTTGTCAGTGTACAGTGAAGCTATGGATTAATGACTCCCATTAGTCAGTAAAGACAGAATACAGGGACAACCCAGGAGCAATGCTCTCCAGCTATCTGTCTCTCTTAATGCCTTTCTCTCATATATCCATCACGTAATATTATTTGCCAGCTTTCTCTCTGGAACAGATCTGAAACTTACCACACATACCAGCTGCTAAAGTTTTCATCGTTCTGCTTGATGCACCTAACAAGGGAAAATAAAAAGAAGCTTCAGTCCAATGTGTATGAACCAGATAGTTTCCAATGCTTTTCCATCAGCATGAAGAAATGCATCACCAGTAGCGCATGACTGAGAACTTTTCCTCCATTGAGGGAGCAGGATCACAAGTTTAGATGGGAGCAGAAGCTGATGGTATGCATGTGACTGGTTTGCCATTCAACAGCAGCACCCACCACCTGTGTTTTTTGCTGAAAAAGCAGGAGAACAAAGAGCTGCTGGCTTCCCTTTTCACTCTGGGAAGGAAAGCCATTGCTGGAAGCCTGCAGTAGGAGTGGGTGGGAATCACAGAATCACAGAATTGTAGGGGTTGGAAGGGACTTCCAGAGATCATCGAGTCCAACCCCCAAAGCACAGAGATACATACACTCACCTCTCACCAGGCTCACAGTCGGGCTCAGAGCCTGCTGGCTGAAAACATACATGGAAATCAGAGAGGGCAAATCATACTTTTTGTTGTTGTTCCGTTTGAAATCATTGTAATGACCAATTTTGTCTTGGAGCGGGAAGTTGGAGGGAAGAGCAATAGGAGTGCAACTGCATGGGTGAAATTGCTCCTCTCCCTGCTCCCATCCCCGTGTGTCCGTGCTCTGAGCCACTATTGAAATCAGGAGGTAATCTCCCCAGCAGCTCGATAAATTCAATAGTTTGAAGATGAAAGCTAGAGCAAGGGGAACGCACTTCCTTTTATGTGCAAAGGGAAGGCTGAGAGCTGGGAGAGGAGCAGTGTCAGAGATCTGCTTACAGAGCTGGGCTCCATTCTTCAGAAATGTCAGCTGAAGAATTTCCTGTGCCTAATGACTGGTTTGCAGCTATTTTCCAGTAGGTAACTGTGAATGTAGCTGTAAATTGGGGCTGTTGCGACTGGACATGTGCTCTCCCTTGCATTTTTCTATTTCTGGATAGTAGTGGTGCATCATTCCCAGAGTCACGTTTCAGGTATGTGTATTCGCAATTGCAAATATGTGTACCCGAAACTTGTTCTTCAGGTATGTTTTCTACTTTCTGCTCAAGCAAGTTTACTTTTGTAAGCCTTGTTGACCTTAGCTTCAGTTTCAGATTATCTAGGCAAAAAGTAACCGGACTTGTTCATCAGCAAGATTAAACCCAATTCAATCTTCAGACAATCTTTAGACAATTTGCATTAGATGTGTTACAACATTTCAAGCTTTGCTACGAAAACCCCCCCCCTTCAGATCAGATATAGAATGGCAAGAACACCAAGAAAAAATAAACAAGATGGAAGAGCTAAGATGTATTTCTTGGAAAAATGTATCAACATAATTTATAAACCATTGTATTACTTGGATTTCCATCTTTATAAGCCTGAAGGATGCAGAGATTTCTGTCTTTGAGTGAAGCTAGAAACTCTATTGAGGATTAGAAATTTGTACCAAATATGTATATTTGAGAGGTTTCATGTTATATCTCTAATTAACAGGACTTCTTGTAAAAAGCAAGAAATCACAGATCTCTATAGCCCATTTAATCCTGTGCACACTGCCTTTGCTGTGATGGGGGCACAATCAGCCCCTCGTTTCGCTAGAGCTCTGTAGGTATAATGAGTCTCTCATTATCTGTGGAATTACACGAGCGGCTGAAACCTGAATGAGGAAGAGGGAAAAAAACAGAAGCTTCAAAATGAACTCTTCCAGACGTGTCCTTTGAAAATTGAGCTAATTTGCTGTGTCACACATGCACCCTGGTGCAGAATATTTTAATTTTTTTGCACTTCAGCTGATTATTAGAATAACAGGTCAAAACCAGACAGCCGATTGCTGCAATTGCGTGTGCCCTGAGTATTCTTCATGGCTGAATGACAACCTCTGGGCTCTCCTTTATCATTCTCCAAACTACTTCAGCCCCACTACCATCGCATGGTTGAGCTGCAGCAAAGTGCATCTCACTGGGTCAGTAATCCATCAATGCAGCCAAACGCCCACCCTTGCTGCTGAAGACTTGTGCTCTTCCATTTCAGTAACCATAGAGAGAATAAAAAATTAAGGTATTCAAGCTTTCTCTTCTTTACTTGGAAATGATGTGAATATTAAACCTACCTCAAATTTACCAGGTCGCCCCACCAAGAGAGAAGTCAGTTGAAAGAAAAGGATACTGATTAAATTCAATAAAAATTGAATCGTCCCCCCAGCAAAACTCCTAACATCTTGCTGGTTGCACTGAAGGGTTTGGTTACCTGGAAGAAGATAAAATACAGAACTCCAGCTTCCATGATCCATGAAGTGAAACACAAAACTCTGGGTCTCTGCATCACTAACTGAAGAGATGCAGGAAGAGCTTTGTTTGTGGCAGCGGTTTGGAGCTTTTAAAACTTCTCTGCACATTGTGCCTTTGACCACAGAGCACACTGCCCAAAGGCTTCACACCCTTTGGAAATTACTGCTAGTCAGGAAACAAACTTAGGGTTTGCATGGACACACTTTAATTGCTGCTACAAGTTAAATGAACACTAGTTTGAGGTCAACACCTTGCAGATGTTTTGGCATTTTCATATGTGTTTACAAATTCCTGTTGCTGAATCTTAGTTCCATATTAACCTGCGGCTGTTTTTAGCGGGACCTTCTACAAACAAAGAAGCACCAGATTTTGTGGATATGCTTTCATTACATGGTGCCTTTAGCTGCAATTCTGTCACTGCAGGAAGAGCAGTGCTGCCTTCAAGCCTCTGTGCACTGCGCCTCTGATCTCAGCATGAAGTCAGCCTCTATCCAACCCACCTCCACCAGCACCACCACTGCTGCATGCAGCTGCTGGGGTTGGTTGCAGAAGACAATGCATCAGGAAAAGGCATACCTGAAGTGCTTTTCATGAATACCAAATTTTGTTGCAAGCACTGATTTCACACTGACTGATAGCTACACCTGGATCATGTCGTTAAAACTGGGGTGGAACACAGTTTGCATTGAATCTCTGATCACCACAAAGCGGGGATGATGATAGGTTGTTTGGTAGCCAATAATAGGTTGTCACGGAAGCTTACAGCCCGTGGCCGAGACGCACCATTAGCTATGGCTCTTCCAGGTTTAACACAAAGAGTGTTGCTGTGAATATGTTTACCAGTCGCTCCAAAAGTTAAGCATTATGTTGTGGTGCCATTACTTCAGTAATGATTGACAGAGCTAAGCTGATCTTGAGGTATGTCTCCATGGTTTTTCCTCAGCAAAGAGGTCAAGATGTCTAACCGACTCTGATACATGTGCTCAAGCCAGGTTTGATATTTATTTTTAGTGCTTTGCATAAAGCCTGGTCTTCTCAAACACGCACTTCAGCTCACTGCTAATTAAAGGCAAGCTGCTGAAATGATGCCTTCTGAGAAAGCACCTCTCTTAATGCTGCTAAGTAGATGCACTACACAATATAAATGGCCTGAGCGTGTTGTTGCCTTCATTCAGTCCAATCCTTTTTGATTTTGTTCAACAGTGAAATGCCAAACCAATTTCTTATCTGTTTTCTAAAAAGAAAAAGACCCCGCAGTATAAAAATGTGCAAAGCCTTGCTGGGAACCTTGTGACTCTTACAATTTCAGGCTTCAAAGAGATCATCCATCAGCACACTAATTTCAGATTTCTTCCTCTTGCAATTACTTCCCTCAAAGCTCCCTCCTGCGCTCCAGTGAGATGCCTCTGTCTGCGTGCCAATGCCAGAGCCCAGAGTGCTTCCAATTTACAGCTACCCAATGCATCATCCACAGTACTTAGAGGGGCAGGTACTATGATTAGCTCTCAGTACTGAAAAATAATGCATAGCTTCAGTTCTTGGTCTTGGTTTCTAGAAGAAAAGGGAAAAAATTGAATTTCGCCACTATCCAGGTTCCTGGCTTAGAGGCAAGCATTTGTTGGTCCCATACAGAGGTTTCTAATGAGCAGGCTAGGACCTGACACAGTGCTGAGAGGAGCTCTGCACTGAGTCCTGTGGGAAGCTATGATTCCTCCTACCAACTCCTTGTCCTCTGCTTTCTGCCATGATGCTGCCTTTGGGGCTTTGCAGTACCAAGAGACTCTTCTTCTGGGTAGCCTTGTGTCCGGGGCTATTTCCAGTCTGAGGGATTCATCCAGACTTTTTATTATTTACCTCTGTAAGAATATTTATACATATGCATTTATCTACCCATGCATACATATGAGTGGATACGTAGAAAAAATTTCTCCTCAGCCACTTTCTGACAAAAAGTTGGGCATCTCCTTCCTCCCCAGCCAGTTACCTCACCACATCAATGGACTTTGGAGGCTGCTCTCTGATAGGTGTTAACCTGTGGCCATTAGCTTAAAAATCTGTTATTTCTTCATCACCTTACATGGTTGCTAGGTGACAAATGCATCTCCCCGACAGCAGCGGGGGCTATTGGAGCATACGGCAATTTATGACTGTCCATTATCTCTTTTGCTTAAAGTGCCTGTGCCTTTTGATGGAAGAAGATGTACGACTCCAGGATCACCTAAAGGATGATTAGAGTTTCTGCAGAAACTGCCTCTACTGGTTGGCTCTTGCTGGGCTCCATGAGAGGGGATGCAAGAGTGGGAGACAGGAGGAATCTGGGGAGGATCACACCTGGCAGGGCCAAGCTCAGATTAGCAGACTGAATGTCAGGAACTTAGCTCACTCTTGCATGTATGTGCCCTGTAAGAGTGGTCCTACCTTATTTGCTTGAGCGTCATGATTATTTTCTCTCATACTTCTGGTTTGAGACAAAGTTGCTAGAAACAAACTGGGGACCTCTGGATTCTGGTGAGAGGTGGAGGTGATTTATCAATAAACAGGAGTCCACTCAGAACCCTTAAGGTCTGATAAGCCCAGCTAGCAATTTAAGCCCATTTAAATCTCCTCATCAGCCTTCAGAGCATTTGGTGTTTGCTAGTGATGCCTTCCAAGAAAGCAGGCACCTTGCTGCAGTCTGACCTCCCACAAGAGTCCAGAATGGGGTCATGACTTTTCCAGTAAGGAAATTAAGAAAAGAGAAGCAGAAAAGGGAGAAGTGGATCAGACATAAATACAGAATTTAGGAAGGATGACCAGGATGGAGAAAACAGAAATGAAATATGATGTGCAAGGAAGATGAGGAAAGGCAGGACAGCCTGGAGTCAACCAACAGTAGTTAATTAAGCATGTGTTGGCTTTTTTTTTTTGTCTCAGTGTTTTCATATCACTGCCACAATCAGTTTTTCCTGCAGCCCAAGTCCCCTGGGAGCTTTCACCTCCCTGCTTGGTTTTGCTGCTATGCTTGGCTTGATCTTTGCTTTTCCAGCTGTGTTCCTGGTGTCTGGTTCAGCCAGGCTGCAATCATCCTTCCCATTCTGTTCTTGGAAGATTCAGGGCTGTTAAATTCAGATTAATGCAAGGGTAACAGGGAGGATCAGGTGGTGAACATTGCCTCCATTTAACAAGAGAACTAAAGGAGCTTGGTTCTGATTCTCACAGAATGAAAGCTGTGAAGACCTGCTTGCTCCCTACAAACTCACTGAGATGGATAAACCAGTACTAGGGAGAACTGGCATGGGGACAAAGGGGAGCAAGCCAGCCATGGGTAAATGGAGACTGGAAGGGCAGGGAACATGCAGAGCAGTGGGGTTGTGCAGCATCTTGTCTGTGGGAGGAACATGAGATGGAAGTCACTGAGATGTAACCATTTCAGCAGGACTGACCTGAGGAGTCCTTTCCCATCACATGGAAGTTACCCCAGTTGGTTCTTAGAACCCCAGACCAACATGTACGGAAGTCAGCAGAGACTGCTCCAGTCTTGTGCGAGCTGAGCAGGATGAACTCCTTACGACAAGCCCTGGTAGAGCTGGCATAACTTGATGTCTTTCAGAAGGATTATAGCTCATTGCTGCTCACTGATGAATGTGGCCCTTTGTGAGCCTGTGCGGGGGATGTGCTGCACAGGGGGAAGGAAGAACTTCGGGCACTCATTTAAATGAGTGCAAACAAGGACAACGTTGTTCTGCCGCATCTTCCCCAGGAGCAAGGCTCTGCAGGTCACCCTCACATCTGAGTCGCTTGCTGCTGTTCCTGGCAGTCCAAAGCAGCCTGGCAGTGTGGCTGAGTGCACCAGCAGAGAAGGGGGAGCGGTGAAGGATTTTGCCTGGCAGAAAGCTAAAGGAAAAGGCATTTGCTTTTAAGTTCGTTATTCACAAAAGGGATTTCTCCTGCAGGTGAGTGCATGTTGCAGACAAGGGCAAACCTCCTTGAAGACAACAGAAAGCTGTCTTCAACATTTAAGTGTCCATGGAGTCCCCAGATCCTTAATTTGCACTTTTATGGAAGTCCAAACTAGAAAACTGCCCAAAGTATAAAGTTCACTGAACTATTGTGATAAACAGCTGCAAATTTTTCCAGATACTCCTGTACCAGCCCTGTAATGAACACCTGAGAAATAGATACTGCAACAACTGAAATATTGGGCACATATAAAAGAGTTTAGGCAGGAAGTCTTGCTCTGATTTACCAGGACAAGCAGCTTTTATAAGTGCACCTTTGCAACATGTGTCTTGTGTATGCCTACAACTCTGGTACTGACTCTGCTCCCACAGTGAAAAAAGAAAGGTGAGAATTGAGGAAAGTGTTTTTTTCTCCCCTTTCAGTGAGAATTGTTTTGAAAACTTCAATTGCACCCTGAGAAATAAAAAATTGTCAAGATAACAGGACTTGGGCTCAGCCTGGAAGTTGTTTGGTTTTATTTCACATAGAATCATAGAATCATTAAGGTTAGAGAAGAGCACTAAGATCATGCAGTCCAACCTCAACCCATTCCACCATCCCTACTGACCACGTCCCTCAGTGCCCCATCTCCACAGCTCTTGGACACCTCCAGGGACAGTGACTCCCCCACCTCCCTGGGCAGCCTTTGCCAGTGCACTGCCATTCTTTTTGAGAATAATTTTTTCCTTATATCCAACCTGAAACTCCTTTTCATAGAAAGTGGGAGACTTCAATACTCAGGATTACATTATAAGATTTAGTGCAGTTGAGGAATGAATGGCAGTTTGGCTTCTCTTATTCCTAGCTTGGACATTAGGACTTGAGATAACTCCCAACTCTGTCACCAGTTTTGCACATAGCCACTTCTGTGTATTACAGCTCAACCAGAAAAACATGAGAGACCCTTCTTCCATCCTACAAGTTCTCCTGATGGCTCTCCTTCCCCAGGGTACGTCAGAGATCAGTTCAAAAGACTGTATAACACTTGAGACTTGGTAATATAAAAGCAGAAGTGGGCATAAAGTTGATAAAACCAAAAGGAGCTTGAATAAAGAGAAAAATTGAGTATACCAGAAATGAAAACACAGTAATCACCAGCAGAAATTTTCCCTTCAAGGTTTCTGATATGAAACTGGGGCTGCTTGAGGCTACTTGAATTCC